ATTTTATCCAGACAAATTGGCTGACACACTCGTAAGAAATACCAGAATTACATCAAAGATCAGAGAAGCAGTCCATTTGGTACAGAAGACTGTCTCCAAAAGTGTTTGGAACAGCTGTTTGGACCAAGTTTAGATACTCTGAAGGAGTAAATAAACAATTTGACCACAACGAAGTTAATTTCTGCCTTCATTAGTTAAGGGCTGAATTATACCCTGCAGCATAAGGTTTTATATCTCTTCCAGAGTCAGTTATATATCTAACGCAACACATGCCCACATAAAACAGAAAAGAAAAGGAGTTATTAATTTAAAAATATCACACCTTTATACAATCTCTCTTTTACTCTGTTTTCCCCAGTGAAAGTTGTCATAGATCTTTATCCTTCCTACCTGCAAATTAATACACGCCTGCCAGCGCAGGGCAGGAGGAGCCTGGGTGAAGAGATTTACTCTCAGATACAATTCCTTAGCTAACACCAAGTAAAAGATAAACACATCAAGAGACAACTCTATTTGCTCCTCCAGCTTCCTCACTCCTAGCCCCTTAGCTCAGGAGTCTTTCTCAGTGCTGAGTTGCAGCCACTAGGAGAGTTGGTGAAAATATTTTAAGACAAGAGTTCCAACAACATGTCAATGGCTCTTGTTTCTGCTTGCTCCTCATTAGTACTACTGTCAAATAACAGCCGTGCTTGACCAAAATCAGCTCATGGAATATGCTGGCCGATGCCAAACCGGAGCAGTTGGATGGAAACACTTTGAAGAGGTGCACCATCCTCACAGATTTATTTTTACATATCGTGCCTGCTGAACTGTCACATAACTGAACACACAAGCAATGTTTTCTGCTACTTCCAGGTGGTTAGGAGACTCCGGGCCCAGTCTGACAGAAAATGATTTGGCTCCAGTAATACACATGATTATCACATTACACAGGCATGAAGTAATCAGCCTAAAGAAAACTAACTAGTATAGGATGTGGCAGCGCAGATCCTCAAGCAGAAACACATTAGCTCCTCAGTTCACTGTCTATAACCAGTCAAATATAATATCTCTGTCCCTATTATCAAGGTTTTCAGTAACTTGCACCCAAGAAACAATTTTTTTAGGATCTAAAAACTTCCTCAAACATCACCACTTTTTTTTCTTAAAAAAAACAACCAAACAAACCCTGCTGCTTTCACCTAACCATCCACAGAAAACACATATAGCACAAGGAACAAAAAAAGCGTGCTGAGAAATGTGTAATTTTCCACCTTCCATAGGAAAAAAATGGCCACTTTTCTAACTCTGATAACTTCAAACTATTGTCTTGTTTGGAGAATGACATGACACCAGGAGAGATCCCCCAGGAATATATCTTGGAAAGACTTCAAATACAATAACAGGGAGAACGATATCTTCAAATGATCAGAAAAATAACACAACCTTCATATGGGAGCAGGACTGGTAGCACACAACCTCAAAGTATCTATAGACACAGTGCTGTACTTACCAGTGTTAAGTTAAGAGCCAAATTAAGATCCCAACTTTAGCAAAAGCAGAAATTCTTCTTGCTTACACACTTTCGGCTTCATTTTACTTCCACCTTCCCTGGATCTCAGCATTAGGAGTCTCCCTTGCTTCACAGAAAGTTTTATCAACTCAATTACCTGAAGAAAAACCTTTGACTGGTCAGACCAGCAGGCCAGCCCAATTAACTAGGCAGTGAGGGCAAAAGGCTGGAGCCAGAAGGGCAGGGCTGTTCCACCTGATGGAATTGCAATCATTAACTACTTTTTTCACACCCACCTGAACTCATTTAATGGCAAAATGGGAAAATCTTGGTCCTTCTTTCCTCTGCTCTTCTCTCCTCACTGCTCCTCTAGTTTTTTCTTATTTCTTCTGTGTTTTCATTCTAGTTTTCACCCAGAAGGTCTTCCTCCCATAAATGAGTTCTTATAATTTTCAGACCTTTTTATGAGCCAAATGCAATCCTTTACAGTTTAAATCACCTAGTTTTACTAGTTAGAGTAACCTGTAAGTAGTATTTCAGGGATATTTACTTAAATAAATCCTATCTACTGGTTCTAAAATATCCATGAGATTATGATCATGCATATATGAACATATGAAACGTAGCCACAGAAAAAACCAATATGTATAGACAGGAGTCAAATACTTTTTTATTAATGATTCATCATGCTGTATAGCAAAATCCATCTTGCACTTATGTGCTGCAATGTGCATCATTAATTTAAGAACATTGTGACAGAATTTCTGTGGTCTTTTTTTTTGAGTCTATAAATTATGCCTTTCAGGGCACTTAAGGATGAAGAAAAATAAACTTCAAGAGGCCTGATGGCACTACTCAGTGTGTCTAGAATTTAACAAATAATTCTTTCACATGGTGTCGTGCATTCATTACTATCACTCATGAATATTGGATTATTAAAGAATTATTTATTTGGAAACATATAGGGATGGTGCTGTAAGGAGGACAATATTTAAGTATAGTACAGATTATGAATACTGAAAATATAATATAAAAAAGATTGAAGTCAGATAAATCTAGGCCTATGTTAAATATGGAATGTGTATAAGGAAAACAAAAGGCTTAATAAATGTTTTTATTTTACATCCCTAAAAATTGTAAGATTTGAAAGACAAACAGAGCAAAGGAATTTGAAAAGTAAGCACATAAAAATTACTAGGACATATCTAGTAGAAATTAGAACTTCTTATGAGATAGATCTATGTTTACGGGCCCCATAAGATGCTCAAAGTTATACAAACTACTCTGAAGGATAGATAACCTGTTTGAAAGTTGAACAGAACATAAACAATTTATAGGAAAAATTTTAGACCTGATTTCGAAGAAAACTATTTATTCATTTATTTACTATGCTTTCTGGTATCTGCTGTTTCAAAATGATCAGGTCAATATTGAGCTAAAACATTAATATTTGTAGTCTTTTCAACATGAACTGACAGATCTCTGGCAATTTCCCTTTGCTTAGAATTTTTATATCATAAATCCCATTATAACAATCTTACCACACCCAAGAACGTTCCTCCCATCAATCCAGAAATTGTACAATGCATTGAGAGCACAAGTGAATAATTTATATCAAAGTGAGGGACCCTTTGAAGTTCATCACAAAAATCACAAAATCTATTAACATCACAAATTTGTTGATTTATGATAAAATGTAAGTCTCTGTTGTTGACATATTGGCATTACTCAGAAGCATTATCTATTTTGGTCTCACTAAGAGCAAATGATTTGAAAGACAACTATTATTTCAGTATTTTCAAAGAAAGAAAACAATGTGAGAAAGGTACTTCTGGTTCTTGTTAAAAATGGCCAAAGAAGAGACTAAGAAAAGAAAAACAGAGAAGTATAATATGAAGGAAAAAAGGAAAAATGCTAGACAGAAGAAAGGATAGAAAAGTACAGTAGAGAAGAATTTGAGATAGCCAAGAAGTTAAAATTTTAATAAAAGATACATGTAAAGAATGGGGTAAGGACCATTTCATTTTATTTTCTTTTTCATGGCAGAATAGGAACTTGTACATACAACAAAAGTAACAATCTGATGATTTTACTTTTACTTGTTTCTTAGTAAGAGACACATTTACATATGCACACACACCTCAGCAAAGTAAGTACATGAACTCTTTTTTTTGAGAGTGTATATTTTGACATATAATTGTCCCCAAATTCAGCTATAATAGTTAAAGTCTGAGAGTTATATCTCAAGTATTAAACACCAAATTTTAGAATTCTTCACTTCAAGCCTATCTACTGTAGAAGGCTACTCAGTAAATAATAAAAACATTTTCCAAATGATATCTGAGCAAGTAAGATCCTTAAAATATCTGCTGAGTTCTGGCAGACTTTTCTCAAAGGAATTCAAGAACTGTTTGATTTACACACCAAACTTTGAGAATGTAATAATATGGGAAAAAAATCAAAACATTTTTTGATTAGTGGCATTTATCTGGCTTTAAATATTGTCCAATAGTTATTGTTTCCTATCCCAGGTAAACAGACAAAAGAAAAAGAGAAAGATAAGATATTTTTCCATTCTCCTGTTGCTTGATCTCTTGGAAAAACAGGAGAAATCAGCACCACTGCTAGATATCTCCAATTAGGAAAGTCGCTATAAATTTTGCAGATGTTTTAAGTCCAAGGAACTATTTTGGACTTGGTTTGAGTCTCAGTCCCTACAGTTTTATTTCATTTTTTCTGCTTTTAATCCAAAAGGTAACTCTCTGATAACAGTTCTAGCAAACTCTTCATAACCTTGCTGATAACTGTCTTCTCTAGTCACCAGCAGTAGGTAGTGTGTGAATGTTATTCAGATAGGAATCATATTAATGAATTAGTGTTATTTAATTCAGATAATATTAAAAAAGTTAATATGAAGTACCAGCTGTACTGAAAAAAGAAAAACATTTATGACTAAAAAGCAAAAGTCACAAACAGGATAAAAATAAGTCCTAAGAACACAAAAACAACTATACTTAGTCAGACAAAAGGTCTATTTAGTCCATCACCCTAACTTTGTCAAGGGCTAAAAGTCTGTTTCTGAGGTACAGTATAAGTCCAGAAAAAAAATAATATTATTTTTAAGACTCTTTGAGCCTCCAAGTATTTTTATATTTGCCCCATGAAAGGTGACTTAATAAATTCAAATTCAGCAACACATTTCTGCTATTTCCTTCAAAGAGTATGACCACTAATATATTATTTTTGCAAGAAATGATAAATATACACTTTCCTGACTTTTTTTAAATGTAAATTGACAGTCTGTAGAAAACCCCAATAATTCTCCTGCAAGTTAATCATAAAAAGGGAGAAATGAAGAAATAAAAAAAAAAAAAAAAATCAATATTCTATCTATATAATATAATCAAATATAAGGAAACAAAACAAAAGTTCAGTGTTTCTGTTTTTTCTAAAAAGACCAAAAAAATCCAGGGTAATCACCAGAGAAATTTAAAAATAAATGTCTTACCTCATATGCATAGTCCAAGGAAGTAAATTGACTCCTTAAGTGCCCAAATTTGTACACAGCTACAAAAACTAAGCAGCGAATGATTTCCAAAATGTCTGCTTTGGGCCTAGAAATGGGAAGTAATTCAGATTAACATCCAATATTTTCTGCTTGGTTAACTTCAATGAAAAAAAAAGAGAATGTAGAAATAGTCTGTGATGTCCTGCACTTATTCCAAGTCATCTTTCTTAACTTTATAGTTTTTACAGCATCTGCCTTACAGAGACTTATAACATTGAATTTCTGGGGCAAGGTGGTGAATACACATGCTCAGAAATTATATATTAGCTCACACAAATGTAGATTTATATATAGATATTGAATTTTTATGTCAAAAATTACAACAACAACATTCTGAAAACCACTACACAACTAGTTCAGATTCTTTTAATCAGTCTATTTCTGTAACTTTTGACTAATTCACATTATTAAGTCCCTAAGTTATACCCATCTCTGGCATACTGACAGATTTTTGCCTATCCTGAAGTCAACTATTCAGTCAGCACAAGTGAAAGGTATTCCATTCTGAAAACAGAATGAACAGCAGGTGCAAAGAGGAACTGGCACCCCAATCCCAAAGGAAATTTCTATTCCACATTTCTGTTCTAGCAGGGCAAATAGCTTCTCCCTAAGAAACTTTAAGTGCCACTCACTCTTCTGTAGGGTCATGGTGTCCATGTGGACTATTCCCATGGTGTACATCTCACTGGGTTGGTGTATTCAAGACCAAATTTAATTTGAAACCATATTGACTAAATTTAGTCTTAAGTCCACACCATCCTTTACATGATTTTGAGTCTACTCTGAGCTACACTGTGTGCTTTTCGTGTAGCATCAGGGCATCTGACACCTATGGCACGCTACACAAGACTGACACAACATGATTGCCATCTGAGCTTGAGTTGCCTTGGGACAATCTGCAGCTCTCCTTGGCCTGCCAGTGTCCCAAAACCAGAGATGTGGACACAACAAATTCAAGCATGAAGAGGAACATGGGTATCCCATCCTACAACTTTTCTGCAAGGGACAATATAGGTATAGACACTAATCGCTATAGGAACACTCCTGGGTTTAGGTGCTTGCTATTCATGTATTATTTTCTGTTCAGCAGGTAGGAACATATGCGTCCAAGTGTATCTATAGTTCGTTATCATACATTTTTTGACACACTTGGGATTTTCATATAATGATAAATAATGCATAATGAGAGAAGGGAAAAAAAATGTGGTTTTTGTCTTACCTGTTCTCCATAAGTAGTCCAAAAGAGGTCAGGGACAGAATGATAAAGCCAATTCTCAGAAGAATAGTTCCCTGTGATAACATCTGTTAAAAAGTGGATGAAGGATTCATTCAGCGTAATTTTCTGAAGAGAAACTGATTTTTAACAGAGCAGTAGTTTCAACTTCCTCACTCAGTAATGTGTTAGTGACTGAGTTAGTGACAGCAGTTAGTGACTGTTTTTAAAGTGCTTTGCTACTTTAAATTTTAGAACAAAAATATCTGCTCTGGATAGCACACTTATCTGGAGTAATCACCTGTATAGTTGCTTCCTGAGCACTGTATTTCCAATATGTTTAAGATATTCCCTTCTGTTCTAGGTGTTTTCCTGAAGTTATTTGATTCCCTTATGCCTTTACAACAAACTTATTTCTAGATGAAAATCCCAGCAGCCCTGCTCTTCATCTTATGCTACCAGGTTATTACAATAGTCATCTATGAATCCCAATGGATACCAAAAAACCAATACAATGGTGAGAATAAGAATGCACATCACCTGACAATATAACCATATTTAAGAAGAAATAAAATTAATATTGTCCCTTCACGACAACTTGATACTTGGTTCCCACTTCAGAAAAATTCTTCAACTCATACCATTAATTTCAATCAGGCTTAAAACACTTTTAAACATTAACACGTGTGTTAATACTTGTATGAATAGCAGCATGAGGATTTATGTCCTTAAAATTTACATCAAAATGATATAAACAAAAGTCAGGAAAACAGAAATTATTTGCATTGTGAAGTTTGATTTTTTTCTTTTCATTTATTAAATATTTTTTGTATTCTACACAGCTGCCTCTGAAAATCAAATATTTAATCAGTTTTCTTGTTCCCTCCCTGACTTCCTTTCAAATATTAGTTTTGAAAAGCCTTTGTTTTTTCATGTAAAAAACAACAAAAAGCCCAAAACAAAAGTAGTGGATCTTGCTGAGTTATAGGAATCCTTTCTGGCTTCAATAGCAAGAAGGTTTATGAACAGCATCTTGTACTTCAAGATTGCAGGCATTGGTCAATTAAAAAACTATGAAAGTCTGCCCCAATTTCAATAAATAACACTCGGCGAAATGCCCACCTTCCTTTGGTGGTGGCCCCTACCCCTCGAAGAGATCTAAGGTAAAGTATCTGTGAGCGTGGGAGGCCACAGGAGGATATTCTCAAGTTTTACAGCTGTGTGAACTTACAGTGCCCATGTTTGCAAAACACATCAAACCACACACTCAGGCCGGGCAGGTTTCTGTTGTTTTACTGAAGAATCACAAGCACCTACTTAGATATCCTTAGCAAACAGCTATTGAACAAAGAAAACACAATTCCACCATCGAGCGAGGCAAACAGCAGCCTCACCATTTCACAAGCCAGAACACTCTTCTTACAAATGACACCTTTCAAGCCACTCTGTTGCACAGATTTATACCAGGATAGATCAAGCTCATTATTGCATCACTACATTTCAAATCTGTTCCACCCCTCTTTACGATAAACTTATAAAACCTCAGACTGGTGACTACTACCATCATCTACTTATATGTAGACTTTGAGAAAGGATACTCTTTACACTTTTCTTGTGCTCTATCCCTGGGGATCTGCTATTGGCTGTCACAGGAGACAGGATATTGAAATAGATATTGAACCCTGGGAGGGGAACTGAGTGTAGCAGTTAGGCACTGAGAGTCTCACTTAAGTCAAGATAGTAGGAAATGCTCTGATGAGCTTATCATCCTTTGTCAAGGCTTGTATCTCTTGGAATACATTCACAAATTCCAGAAACAAGTTTTAGAGCTGGTCAACAAAAGATTGAATTGAGGGTGCTCTTTTTGAAAACTTGTTTCTAGAACCTGAAAATCCCAGAGCTATCCTAAGTTTAAAAGACTTTCCATTGTTTATATGAAGCAGTTTGTTTTGAAGTGACAAAATTTGTGGACAGAGCTTTTTTATAAAAATCAGGCACAGATTCTATTTAAGTTTAATAAAATAAGTTCTTAAACTGCTCATCTAGCCACAGTAAGTTCAACTCCCACTTCAGCTTCCTGTAGAAACTGGGTCATACAAAAATTCAAGGAGTGAGCAAAGAAAAACATGATTTGGCAAAGGCATAAGAGAACTCACCCATAAATTTCTTAGAAATGCTTTGATACGTTTTTCAATGATTGTTACTTGTCAAATAAAGGAGTTTGCCAGGGATCTAGGACTGGAATTCAAGACTTTCCTCCTTAGAGACTGTTCACACTTTTAAGTTGGAGAATAATACCTTTTTCTAAACCTAGTCCTTCAGGCCAGGTGGGTCTGATTTTGCTTTAAGTTTCCAGTGCAAAGCTCTAGCTTCTACAGACTGCCTTAAAAACGTTCCCACAGTGGTAGGGCGCTATTCTGAGGAAAGGAACATAAGATTTTGTATCTCCCTTAGGCAGGAGAGAGAACTGAATATCAAATTCAAATTTCAAGCAAGTCACGTAATTGCTACATTATAATACATGGCTAAGATCACACTTTATGGAAAACAAATGAACTTACAATGGTTTTCAGAGAACAAGCATTAATGTTTTTCTTCAGGAATGATGCGGCAGTACCTGCTATGAATAAATAAGTGTGTCTCCCATTTCCAATTTAAAAGAGCTGCATGATTTCACACTTCTCTGTCCTCCCAGTGTTTCCGAGCTGACTAGCATTAGACGACCAATCCCCAAGTCCTAGGCATCTGGGTTTCCTTGCGATTCCACTTTCAGAAAACTGAGGTGCTGATTCATTCTACCTTCTGTAAGTACCTTCACTGAAGTGCCTAAAAACCTGATATTAACCTAAACTTTCTCTGTAATCAGTGGATAGAGAGCATTTTCTGAATGACTTGATTTCTTGCAATTAAATAGACAGCAAGTCCTGCAACTAAATTTGTTCCCTACACTAAGAGTTGGATTTGAGTAGATCAGGGAGACACTTCTCCAAAGCAGACACTTTTGGGTCATATTTTCAGTGTTGTTTTCTCTTATAACTTCTATGAGAATTCTTTCATTTGCTTAAAGACATATTTTTATTGTCATTTCTAAAAATGTAAGAAATAATCAATTACTTTTTAATGTATTTTCAGGAAAAAAATATTTTTTTGTTATTGTTATATTATGTTGTTGTTGATTGACCATGAAATAATGATAAGGTTGATATCAGAGACACCACAGAATTGTCATTCAGACTGCAACTTTCTCTCCACAAAGGAAGGACTGAATACAAGAATTTGGAGTGAGAACCTGCAAACTTCTCTTAAACATTTTCTCCAAATGTGCAAAATTGAAGCCTAGAGTTATCATTTGACTCTCCACATTTATCCAGCTACAGAAGAAAAAAAGCTTAGATTAAGAACTTGAAAGGAAATGAATAAATTTCAGTTCAGTTTTAAACAAGATTTCCAGAAAAAAAAAAAAAAAAAAGAATAAAAATACAATCTAATGTACATTATGTACATTAGCAAATCAGAAGAAAGAACTGAAGCAATCTTATAATTTAGGAAAATCAAACCCAAATACAAACAAGCCTTTATCTTAACATTGTAAAAATGCTATATGAGGTTCGTTGGTATAATAACTACCTGAGACAGGTATGACATTTTACAGATTCTGTTTTTCAGGCCAATTTCTATTCTTCTTCAGATGCTCTCCTACTTGAACCGTAACATTTTGAACATTAGCTGTTTGTAAAACTTCTTATGGTCCAATACCACTTGTGGCCCAGAATGTGAAGGACTGGAGGAATCTAAAATGCAGCCTGCAGATCCCACTTATTTGCAAACTGGCACTGTCATCAGATTCACACAAAAGCATGACACTGCAATGCCTGAGTGCAGTGTTGCAGCCTTCCACTTCCCATGTCTTCAGCCCTCTGGAGCCTTGAAGGGTGAGGCATAAAGCCTTACTGGGAACCATGAAGGTAGAAGGTTCAATTTACCCTTCACTGTAGGTACATGCACCACATTCACATATAGCAAAAAAAATGGGTGCCCTCATTTATGCTAATAAATGTCAAGGACAAGAAATCTGCAGTGAAATACACCATGATGCCATTTGGGAATAGCAGCTTTTAGAAAAACAGCCATGTAGCATAAGTTTTAGCATTATTAGTCTGCTTCCATAACTTTCTCGTTACAGCTCCAGTAGTACAGTGACACACTGCCTTGATTCTTTTATTTACTTTCAAACTTGTATCGCTCTGTGAAGGGGATGCTGCCAGCTGAGGCATCCATTTTCTAGGCATTACTCTACCAAAATCAACAAAATAGTCAGTGGGTTATATCACTAAACTAAGCATCACATATTAAAACTACAGACTGCAAGTTGCAGTATGGAAAGAATGTGCCTTTTACACCTTTGTCAGTGCTAGCGTCCTCATTCCACTTAAACATAATATGTATATGTATATATATAAAATAAATTAGTATTTATATACTGGAGTATTAGTATAAACAAAGAAGCCTGTGGGACCACAGCAGGTTCCCCAATTACAAGTCAGCCACAACTTTGCAATGTGGTTATTGGCTGCAATCAAACAGAAAAAAATATTTCTTTTGGATTTTGATTTCATTGAAAGCTTTAAAAATACCTTGGAGCCTTAAAAAAAAAAAAAAAAAGAGTTA